GTGAGTTACCCTCGAGGTAGCCTGGGACGGTCGCGCTGACGCACCACTCTTCACAAATGCCCTATATCCGCCTTCCACCTTAGGGAATCCTTTAAAACAAGGACACACACTTTAACACTACACACACACGAGGGGCACTTAAAGACACTTCACAGGAAATTGCGGTCACTGCACACTGCTCAAAACTCGTTGGTCATTCAAACGAATTTTAGGGGGAGACAATGGCGACGGATGACGGCGTTGACGGAGGAGGTCTGCTGGCCTTGATTTTACACGAACGCACTTATTTCCACTTAATCAATCACTTGATACTCACTGCGCCATGGAGATGTTCGGGGTACTTGGTTCTAATTACCGGAGCGAACATAAACACCTGTAGAGTTCTGTAGGTTCTTATTAACGGAAATATACAGGAGTGCGCTTACAGGCGCAGGTAGTCCTTACACTCCTATAGGGTCAACTGACCTCACTCTGACCTCTCAGGCGACATGTGGTAAGTGGTACATTAGCAGCTTCCAGATGTCGCCAGGCACATTTATCTAAGCGTGTGGTGACATGAAACAGGGGCATTGCCACACGCTACTGACTAGAGAAATAATGTGTATATATAGAGTACATACATGGTATACATACAACATACATAATATACATACACGTTGGAAACTGGCAGCGCCATTAGTAACACCAAAAGGTATTCTACAGAATTGGTAAAGACGTCCACCAGCCTCGAATGCAGTGAATGGCCTATCTTCCTGTTTGATATGCACTGCGTAGAACTAGCATACTAAACACACTATATCTAGCGATCTCTCTTACCATGTCATTGATCTGAGGTAGTGGATATGCATCTAACAAGGTGAAACGATTGATTTTCTGTGAATAATCTATCGCCATTCTTCGTTTGTGGCCTTTGGACGAGACCACCAATGCCTGAGCATGCCACGGAGACTGACTTGGCTCAATGATGCCCTCCTTCAGCATTCTAGACACTTCAGAGTCAATAAACTTCTTGCTTCCATGTGAATAATGCCTCGATTTTACTGCTATTGGCTTGCAGTCAGGTGTCAAGTAGTCAATCAATGATGGAAATGGGACTTTAACAGCGGCAAGTCCACACACCGTCAGGGTGGGCTTGGAGCCTCCGAACGAAATTTGAACCGCTGAGTGTTGCTGTAGGAAGTCGTGTCCAAGAATAGCATCACTACAGAGGTCCGGCTTCACAAACAGTCTAACATCACTGTACTTAGTGTTATTGAGTTGCAGATTAGTAATACAATATCCCAGAACCCACGAGGTTAGAGAACTATTTGCCATAGACACCTTTCCCATACAAGGGAAGAATTTCCATCCATGCATCTGTACAATACTAGAGCCGACGAAGCTTTCAGAGTTACTGGTATCAACGAGTGCAGTGACAAGAACTCCGTTTATCTTTGCTTTCATCACAGTCCTTGACAGACAGCCAGGAGATGCAGCAGACAGTGTCGCCAATGTCTAGAATGATTCAGAGGTGGCTGCAGAGGTGAACTTAGCAGATCGGCACACTTTAGCATAATGGCTTTTCTTTTTGCAGTTGAGACACAGTACATCCCTTGCAGGACACTTGGAGTGGGGGTGTCTACCAAGACCACAGAAGAAACATTTCAAATTGGCAGCAACCACAGTGACTGTCTATTCAGGCTGGTCAGTTGGGGCAGATGTGGGTGAAGCACTTCGAGGCAGGTTTAAAACTGCTTCCCGATTTGGAGATGCCATTGCAGAATTAATAGTGTTAGGTTGCATATATGAAATAGACTGCTTCTGGGCCAACTCCAATGTATGGGCCTGTTCATCTGCAGTCTGCAAGTCGAATGTTTTATTCTCAAGCAGGCGCTGTCATATTTGGTGAGCTTGAAGTCCGTTAATGAATGCATCTGATGTAATTGTTGCGTGCTTCCTCGGCTGAGACTGCTTGAAAATTACAGTCCTTACTCAGGGTCTTCAGTGCTTGCAGGTACTGGTCCAGAGTCTCTCCAGCTTCTTGACTACAAGTTGCTAAAACGTGTCTGGCAAAGATCTCATCTTTAGGCTTGATGTAAAGCTCCTTGAGCTTGTTAACAGCATCTTCGTATGAGTCACAGTCAGCATTGAATTCGTAGACAGCTGGTGCAACGTAGTTGATCAGGAGATTTAGCCTATTCGACTGAGTGGCCTCAGTTGTGAGTGCATCCAGAAAGTTTGTAAAAGTTCGGTGCCAGTGAGCCCACTGCTTGGCGGCTGATGCTGAGTTTGGGTCCACATCAAAACGGTCTGGCCTCATAAATCTCTCCATCATTAAGTTGAATAAATTGTTATGTAAATGAAGGTAAGCACTGGGAGGCTTTATTCAACTTAATGCAACATCAGTATCCATAGATCTGTAATAAACAGAATAAACAGGATTTATAAATTAGAATGACTGAGCTTCAAGTAACAGAATTGGCTTAACACAAATAAACCTAACATAACACAAGAAATACAGTGACCCCTCGTTTAACGAATGCCTCGGTTAACGAAATTTCGGTTAACGAACTGCCTTCCATAAGGATCTTCAATTCGGTTAACGAACAAAAATTCGGTTAACGAATTTCTTACGAACCGACCTCAACATGTTTTCGCTTGCACTGGCCGGGCAACGAGCTTTAGTATCAGTCCGCCAATACATTAATCGGTTCTAGGGCTTAAATTCCTAACTATTTTAGTAAATATCAAGAAGTTTATACTATTCAATAATTTTTAAAGTTTAATATTAAATTTTTTAGTCATTTTAACAATTATTGAACATAATTGAAGGTAAAGTGACTAGTTTAATGCGCGGCATCCAGCCTCTTAACACAGCAAACAGGCGTTAGTCTCTCTGTTTTCACTGGAGGTAATATCTTGCTTGAGACTCTCTTCAACTAAACACTTTTTTTCTGTGTTTCCAAGCAAATTATTGGTCATTTTGAAATATATTTTACATATTGACAATATATAATGCAGTACAGTGTTGATTTAAAGAAAATAATCTTGAAATACACCAAGAGAACTAAAATTTTATGGGTGAAATGGTGCCATGGGGTGACTTCTCTTCCACCCCAATGCCTTCTCTTCTTCCTTCTCCTCCACCCCCATTGTAATTCCCATCATCATCATCATCATCCAGGAGCCTTCTACATACACACCTCAAAGTAAGTGAAATTTTCTACCATTTTTTTTGAATTTAGGAAATTTTCGGTGAGCTGGAACCAATTACCCAAAAACCCATTGAAACAATGGTTTCGGTTAACGAACTTTTCGGTTAACGAACGACCTTCTGGAACGGATTGAGTTCGTTAACCGAGGGGTCACTGTATAAGAGAAATATAAGACTTGTGATATGGAGACAATATTGATATGATATAGGACAATGGAAGTAAGCACCTACCAGAGCATAGGTAACATACGAGAATTAAATCTAAACTATTAAGAATAAATGACTCCCTGTGGTAGGAGGTCCCTGACAGTGGGACTGTCAAGGCAATAGTGTTGAAGGGTGTTAGCATTGAGACAGTTACAAAGTTTACATGAAGAGAAGTGGGGGTCATCTTCCACCTCAGATACTTGGCAGATAGGTCTCCTAACCTAATGCGAGCAGAAACAACATTATGTCTGCGGACCATAAGTCCACATCGACGATACTTGTGTGGATAAGGAAGAATGTGATTGTAGGGAGAAGAGTGGCTGAACGAATTCTCTTTCGGTAGGTCATGCTAGGCTTATATTTAGGCCTAAAAGATCCTGATTGGACAGCCATAATTTTGAGAATCAGTTATTGATGAATCTTACTAGAAAAATTTGCAAATTAACATGTGTAAGACTGTCTTTTATTTTTATCTTTAGGTAACTAATTTTTATTATAATTTACTTTGGATTTATTTTAATATTTGAGACAAATAATAATTTTGTTGTTACTTTTTACTTTCAGTACTTGAGTACTTCAAGAATAAGAAATTTTTTTACTTCTACTTGAGTACATTGACATTTGGATACCTTTATTTCTACTTCGAGTAACATTTTGCCAATGTAACAATACTTTTACTTTAAGTAACAAAGTCCAGTACTTTTTACATCTCTGGTTAGAGAAGGGTAGTTTAGCTTAGTGTTTAAACATCAGGTAGAAAAAGCTGGAGTATAGTACAGTACCTAATCTTTGGGTGATCCAAAGTAGATCCTGTGGTTTTCCTAAAAAAAAAAAAAAAAGCTTGAATTTCAGCCTAGGAAAATTCCGACACTTCTTTCTTAACCTTGGCCAATTGACTCACCACCTAGGTACCACTTTGTTCTAGTTTCTGGGGGAGAACTTCAAACTTTCATATTTATGTTTTGTTGGCATAGAATTATAAAGATTTGGTAGTGTCACTTTGTCTTTCCAAAACAATGCTGGGCTTGCTCTTTTAGAATCTGGTAAAGCCTACAACACATGTAAAAAGAAACAGTAGTGTTGACTAACACTGTTCACTTTTTATTGTATGAGTGAATTTAAATTGCTTAGAAAGACTAATTGTTATAAAAATAACTCCCCTCAGTTTAATTGTTCAATGTTATTACATTTATACTGTATTTATTTTAGCAGAGTAAGTGTGTTGTTCTGACTACAGTACTGTAACCACATTTTTCACAAAGCATTAATTATCATAGGAAATCTCTGACAGTTGGCATTAAAACATCATAATACTGTACAATCAAAGACAAAAGTCGTGTCGCGGTTTTGTCTGAAGATTAAATATAACTCTTGAATCATTATGAGAGCCCCTACCACAAGGATGAGCGCACCAAAAGTTTTAGCCCTACGGCATATGCTTTCACCAAATTTCACGACACGACTTTTGTTTTTCATTGTATCTATACTGCAGATTTGTGTAAAATGATAACAAATAAACCTCAAACCACATTTGTGTACCTTCACCTATTTGTGTGATAAACCTTGACACATAAACCTATAAGGTCAACCTCTCTTACAGCTGGTGTTGACCCAGATGACTTGGCTTCCTAAGGCTGATGCTCGCCATGGACACAGTGATGGTCATGCCACTGATGGGTCTGGCTCAGGGGTAGACGGCTCAATGGACTCTCACAGCCGGAGCAACCACCCAAGTGAAGATGATGACGAGTACTACAACGAGTACTATGACGACTATTACGGTGGACAAGGAGGATCTGGCATGGGCTCTGGAGATCTTGAAAGTAGTACAATCGTCCCCCGAACGGGTAAGTTTCTGATATTGTTCAAGTGATAGATATTCTGTCCTGTAGTTGTGTATTCCCTATAGTGTATACTGTAGTATATTTTATGACTCTTCAATCCTTTTCCATCTTAATGAAAGGTTGCCATAAATAAGAGTAGATACATGTACTGTGCACATGTATTTCCCCTTCATTCTGTCATTCATATTATTGTAAATGACATATTCTACTATCTCTCTTCTCCAAAAAGGCCCAAAATCTGGTTTAACATGTTGTTTCACATAAGCCAGCATCATCCATCAGCTGCACAACTATTTCCAACATCAGTTACTCTACCATCTCCCAACTTTCCACTCTTCCACACATATACATTACTGCTTCCATGGTCGTCTACTCCTCACTTCACGTGTAGATTTCTTTTTGCTTCTCCTGGTCTCCATCTCACTCTATATCTTCCCCTCTCCCACTATCATCCTTTTCTTTTACCAATTTTTCACTTCCTATTGCTTACTACCCAAATATTTTTAATACTGTACTGGGCAAAGGCTTGCATGTATATACTGTATTGCGAAAACATCTCATGCACCCGAACACATCTGGAGCTTTTTGTGTTTACTTCTCTCACTAACTTTATTTAATTTTTGTATCAATGATAAGCCTCCCTTGTATCATCATTCTAGTTCTTCTACAAGTAAAGAACCTCTAGGAAAAGGCTAAGAAGGTATTAACAAATACAACAAAGTTGGTGGTACAGTAACGAGACAGGTGAAACAGTAGCAGGAATTGGCAGGGCATACCAAGTGAATTAGTCAACCATAACTGGAATTATATTTATGCCCTAAGATGGGCGGGTCACGTCGTGTTGCGTCTCTGTAACAAAACGTGTTGGCACTTGGGCCTTCATTGTTGAGTCGCAGAAACTGGACTGAATGCATAAGAGAATCAAGATCGTCATAGTGATGTGAATGTGTAAAACAATGTAGGGCTTTTAATGTTATTCACAATTGTATATCAAAATATTCTCCCTACTTGACTGGAGCAGTAGACTGTTAGGTTACAACCATAAAACCACTGCCATATGCCAAGATTTATTCTGAAAATTTTAATGGGGTGTGTCCATGTCTGTGACTGACCGTCCACCAGACTCCAGCGGACTCTAGCAGTTTCCCCCAGCCTCCCCAGACTCTAGCAGTCTCCCCCAGCCTTTAGCAGCCTCAACCATTTCCTGCAGCATTTAACAGCTTCTTTCAGCCTTCCCCAGGCTCTACCAGTATTCCACAGCTTCTAGCAATCTTCCTCAACCTTTAGCAGTCTCCCCAGCCTCTGGCAGTCTCCCCCCAGCCTCTGGCCATCTCCCCCCAGCCTCTGGCCATTTCCCCCAGCCTCTGGCAGTCTCCTCCAGCCTCTAGCAGTCCTCCCAGCCTCTGGCAATCTCCCCCAGCCTCTGGCAGTCTCCCTCACCCTCTGGGAATCTCCCCCAACCTCTAGCAGTCTCCCCCAGCCTCTAGCAGTCTCCCTCAGCCTCTATAAGTCTCCCCTTGCCTCTTACAGTCTCACCTAGCCTCTAGCAGTCTCCTCCAGCCTTGTTGTAAAAAGGGGTCACTATAGTAAAATACACTTTTTACATCAGTAAGAGTGAATGAATAACAACAGGTGAAGGGAATTTTTTTTGTGAATGCTGTACTGTATTGTATTTAGTATTTTTTCCTACCATCATGTATAAAATTATTTTTGTTATATTCATTTACATTCTGCATGTTTCCCTTATTAAATGGATTTATTTGTTTCAGATGCATCATTACCAGAGAATCCAAATTCAACTGCCCAACACGGAAGCAGTATGATAGTGTTGCTATTTACCCTTGCTACTGCTGTCTATGTTTTCTATGGCTAATACTTCCCACAAATTTGCTCCAAAAATACCTCAGATGACTCCATTGAATGTTCCAACAAAGCTGTAAATGGTTTAACATCATAGAAATCAGTACCGGTGTACTTGAGGATCACCACCGCAGCACAATAATACTCGTAGGCTGGGTTCAGAGTCACTGCCTTACAAGTTCTAATGCTGCACAAGGTTGAAACTTCTTCAGCCTCACAGCTTTCATAAATTAATCATGGTTGACATTCATGTATTCAGCACAGTTTATTTTTCATGATTGCAACTGTAAATACAGCTAATGTTTCAATGTAGATAGGAATGAAAATTAGTTTATTGAAGGAAAAAAAAAGCAGATTTTCCGATGATATTTTACCTGAATAAAAGTGGCGGCGAAAAACATTGTTTGGGGTTTGTTATGAAAGTATATTTAGAAATTACAAGGAGTTGTATTTCACACTTTATCTCTTTTTAGGTGCAGTATATTTTTTGGTCTAAGTTTTTGTATTCTGATCTTTTGGGTCTGTGTTGCTACTACTGTGCTATGCCAGAACCTTTTGTATGTGAGGATTAAAGGAAGATTTTATTGTGGTTCTTAACCTGGTCATAAAAGTTACGCTAATAAAAAGTAAAGGGATAATTATTAATTTGGAGCATCTAACATAACTTCTGTTAGAAAGTTTGTATGGTGGGTTTGACCTTCTTGCTCTGTTTGGTCGACAATATAAGTGAATGCATAATGTGTGTTCAAGTAGTTGATTATTAAAGGCAGATGAGATGCTACATGTAATCAAAATTAGGCATCAAATCAATGTTCAAGCAGACACCTTCACTTTATGGGTGAATATGTGACTTAGAGAAATGCATTATTTTCCCCTGCTTGTCAAGCAGAAAATAACTGCATTTCCTGTGTTCATTTTAGTGGCTTTTCTTATGAACGTTTTTTTTTTTATCTTTTTCTTTCGGCTTATTTTCTTACATTATTTTTAATAGTTTTTTATTATGACCAATTATTTTTCTTATTTTATACGTAAGTTGGTTCAGGTGGTGCAGGAATCATTTGAACTCTTTTATGATCACTACAGTATGTTCTTGAAGTCAGAAACTTGTGGCAGATATCACATGTATTCTCTAATATCCATTTGCATTTGAAAGAAATTCAATATACTGTATAGATATTTAAATCTAAACAGGATAAGATAGTATGAATTATTTTTCTGTATCCATCATTTTGCTTGAGGTGTGTGTGTGTGCTCCATGCTAGATCACCTCCAAACTTTATTGGCTGTTCACAAAATTACTAAACTCCTGTTCTCTCTATTGTTTTCTTTGGTTCTTCTTCAAGATAGGTTTTGTTTATAGTTTCATGTTTTGTGTGTCAGAAGATATTACAATTCCTGCTTTAAAAAGGAAAATTAGAACCAGTCAGTATGATAGTAATGTGCTAATACCTTATGAAGTACTTGATATGAAGTACCACAGGGAAATCCACACCATTTTTATATTATAAACAGACTGTCTTGCAAGATATAAGTTGCTGCAAAAATTAACAAGAATAGTATTCTTATACTCCAGTTCATGGTGATAGAATCCATCCAACAATCAGGCAGAGTTGGTTGGATATTGTATAGGGGTGTTCACTATTGTGTCAGAGCTTCTGTAAGTGGCAACACCATAGTAATACAGTATTTACACTCCCAGTCAAGGCCCTAGACAGGGTGAGACCTTCCTGCTGGGGTAACACCCCAGCAGTTTTGTATAGAATATTGTTGAATGTAAAAGCAAAGTTTGCATATTCATTAGTTGCACAGAAATTAGGTGAAACATATTGAAATTACTGTAAAGATTTTCCCTGAACATGCACTGTACGTTCTTAATTTCCACTTGCAATATCACATACAACATTCATAACAAAAACAGCTGAATTAGCTGGTTAATTTTAAAAATTTTATCCATAAATCTTTATTAGAAAACATTCCATCTTTATTAATCAATAGGCCACCACACATATATAGGTATAAAATATGTTGTGTTGGTAGTATTCAGTAGGCTTTTATCTCACTTTGGGTGAGTTTTGACACTGGTGTCATGAGATCACTGACTGTACCTATAAAAATGTAACAAAATAGGAGCAAGTAAACTGTGTTGTTTATGTATCAATTTATTTAAAAGGAGCTCTTTATTATAATTGGTCACCACAAAACAGAGGTAAAGATCTCTATTTACTATTCATACATTGGGGGTTGAAACACCAAGGTGGATTGGCGGGTTGACCCAAGTAGCTTACAAGGACTCAACTTCATGAAAATAAGAAACCATTTTTTTTTTGTAGTCTTACACAAATACTATTATGATATTTAAGTATGTTTTTATTAATAGGTCACTTTTACTTTAATACCTTAAATCCATAGGAAATATCCAAGTTTCATTCAGCAAATGTAAGCCTCTTTTGTAATTTTTTAATGTAGAACATATTACTTATTAGGTCAGAGAAGTCTTCACTATAATATTATTTATTTATATACAATATTTTTGTCGAAGCTTCTACCTTGTAATATGTAAATCACATAGTCTTGTGTCAACAGCAAAAAGTAATTCCTGTACATGTACATGGTTAATGTGGAAGTAATATGTCCTTTGATGAAAAATATTTGTTCTGGATTTTATTGTGAATCAGTTTGTTATTTAAACAATCTCCTGACTGTACAGAGGACTCTCCCTGTGTAGTTTAGACAGATTTTCAAGTAAAATACCGGTAAGCTTATCATCTATTCATTGTTCAGTCAGTAATGGGTCAAGAATTGCAGTGAAGTTTTCCTAGGAAAGAAAACAGACATATGGTAGATATTACAACAGAAGTAAGCATCATATTCAATGGTCTTAACACTCACTACCATGATTTGAATGTGGTAACTAAAATTTTTTTTAAAGTGTTTTGGGAAAAATTATTTAACAATTTTGTAAACAATCAATGAATTGCTGTATATTTAAGCAGCCGTACCTTAACCCCATCTTCTAAATTTTTTAGAAACAATTTGTTCTTATTATGAATTCATACATCTGGTATATTTAAAGCTTTAAACACCGCTGTTTTACTGTTAGTTTGCATATGTTACCATGACAGAATTGTTTGAATTAAACCCAGTTTACAAACTTATAGGTTTGGGTAATTGTTGCTGCAGCACTAGCAATACAATCTTTTAATTAGGTGACCTAGGATGGGCGAGTAGGGAGAGAGCCTACCATAGTTAAATGGGCCACCCCTTTCAGTATAAAATAATAAAAGATAAAAAAAAATCACACTCACAACACCTCTTTAATTTGAAAAAATATTTGCAAAGGATTATGGTATAAAGTTCACTGATTTATCAATCACCCTCTATAAAACTTGTTGATTGCTTCAAACATTGTGTTGCATATCCCCAAAATTTAATGTCAGTCAACCTCTACTAAACACTTTTATTTATGTTTGTTTGCTTCTTCAGCTTTATAAATTAAAGGATCAAAAGAGATTCCTGTAATGTTGATAACAGTTGTATAAAAATACATACAAAGTTTTTATTAACAATGAGTCGAGAAGTGTTCATACTCTCACAGCCCCAAATTTTCTAGATAATCAGAATTACAAATAATGAAAGACAAATTAGAGAGGTCACACTAACACACACTCACATATATATATATATATATATATATATATATATATATATATATATATATATATATATATATATATATATATATATATATATATATATATATATATATATATATATATATATATATATATATGTAGACTGATGAAATTATAAATGCTATATTCCAATAATATTTACAATATATAGTCATCCACATCCATCTGTCAAAACTCTATGTACATGTTCTTGTAAAATACTTGTATGAATAATTCTTAAAATATGGTTACATGTGCACGACATACTACTGGATCTGACTGACCACATATCTCATCTTAGGGAAATCTGTTCTACTTGAGAGAAAAGTGTAAATAAGATTTATTTTTTAGTCCCCCCATTGTTGATAGTTAAAGCTAGATTACTTGCAGTGTCTGGGGATTGCACCCTGGCCAGGTCTGCAATGCTTGCAGAGCTTAACATCTAAATTCCAAATATTTTACTTATGGAAATGTGCGAGTCATTTTTTTATATTTGTCATTGAATAATCTCTTTTTTTTTTTCTTTTTTTTTGTGGTGTCTGAGAGAGAGAGTGGTGCTTGCTCCTTTGGTTTATGATTAGTCATTATTATTGTATGAGTAATTTTGTAGATCATCCTGTAAGCGTGCAAGTGTTTGTTTTGGAATCCTAACAAAACAATTATGAATGATTTTTTTTTCATACTGCATACAGTTAGGACAAAATTTAAGTAACATGCTAATACTATAGGGCTTCTGCTGCTGTATTATTTAGCAAATTAGATAAAATGTGATAAATATATTTATGAGTTTAAATAATATAAGTGAAGCCTTTTTTTTTTTTTTTTCCATAGAATAAACTTTTAAGATTAAGAATGCTTTGGGAGTACAGTACTGTATTTAGCTTGTGATGTGAATAAATGGTTTTATCATAATGTAAAGAATGCATCATGTATGTACGTATCTGGGAACAGAGTATTGTAGAATAGTTTGCCCTCTTGTTATTGGTTGCTCAAGACTTACATCTCTATAGAGTAATCATTGAAATATTTCTGAACATTTCACCATGTAGTTTGCTTTGTGTTGTTAACAGTGATTTTCATTATGCCCAACTACAGTAGAGGATTTGATCTTATTCAGTTGCATCTGTGAATAGCATCAAAGCTTGTAGTAGCATCGTTAGTGCTTAGCTCTGCAAGCTGTCAGCAGATTGTTGGCTCTATATTAACCTTACCAAACTGTGATAAAAATACAGAAATGCTGGTGTTTCTCTACATTTATGTCGGTAAAAATGTGCCATGTACGTAATGAAACAAAATTGTGATCTTCTTTATCATTGAACTGTCATTAATTGAGTCTTGACTTTTACTTGTATCATTTAGGTGAGCTTGGAGTACAGTTTTCCTTTACTCTCATACTAATGGCACATTTTTGTTGGCCACCATCTTATGTTAGAGCACAAGAGTCATAATAGATATACAGTAATGATGTTTGACTCTTCCAATGATGTTAGACTTGCATTAGAAAGGGCATTAACATTACTGATGAAAAATTTTCTGCAAGTTTTCATAATGATTGAAAGGGAAGCTAGTCATTGGTTGATGTTGCAAAATGAGAATAAATTCCAAAAGTTGTGATACATTATTCATAACTGTCCACACCCTCCAGTTGTTAGCGGAGTCATATAAACATTTGATAATTATGGGCAACATAGGATTGATTTATGATGCTGTGAATGTTGAAATAGATTTGAGCATGATAGTGATGATTTTAAATTAGATCTTGATGATGTCTATATATAATATATGAATTTAATGGAATTGTATGCTGATAGCATGTTTTATAACTAAGCTATAAGGAAATTCAGTTTTTGTCATGTACTGTACTCATCCTTTGAATGGTACTCTACCAGTAACAACAAATTATAATATTATTCCAGGAAATGTTTTAAAGTGAATATAGTACTTCTATTTTGCCTTATTTGAGGCTGTTAAGAGTTAGCTATACTGTTTAGTGGACAATTATCAAATTCATGGGAATTCAACAACATAGAAGTTGATGAATTATCCAGCAAAATTTTGCCGTTTCTTGATCTGTAAGTCTTGCCGGCAGTACACTGTCATCATTCAATTTCTGGCCGAATATCCCAAATACTGTATGGGAAAGACTTGTGGGATGTTACTCCTTGGTGGTTAAGAATTTGTTTTCATCGTTGTAGTTAATTTCATTTCATAAAAAAAAACCTATAGCCTTCATCACCTGAAGTGAGATTGCTGAAATTGTTCATTGGAACCAGGGCCCTAAAATTTAGACTTTTGTGAGGCATCAACATCATCCAAAAGATGAGTAAGGTGATATGAAACTAATAACTGTGTGTGTGTTGATTGTAGACACCATCAAATAAAACTTGTCCAGCACAGGTTCAGCATTATGTTAAATGGATTTATTTATTATCAAAATTTTAGTTGATTATAGGAAGTGGAAGGTTGTATATGGATTTAATCTACAAATTGTTGAGTAATTAATAATTAAAACAAAATAAATTGCAATAATTTACAACTGTTATTCTCCAGAACTGAAAATTCAGCATTTATGCAGAAAAAGCAATGAGTAAGTAAGTAAAGAAATTATTTCATTTGATTATATATGTATCACTGAAGTTATGTATTGGAGAGGAATAAGTAAAGTATGTGAAAAGGCCCTTGTAGAGTAACACACTTTGCACCATAAGACTAGGGGCACCAGCTTACCATGAGCTTGTATATTCATGGTCGTATTGATCTTATTTTGTCTGAAGTATCTGTGCCATATTTACGTGCAGCAAATATAATTGTATTCATTGTTTCATAGATAATTAGGATCAAATTAGTCCTCACTGTGAGGTGTTAATATAGTTCTGATTAGCTATACATTGAGTCCACTTCTAGCAAATATATAAGACAGTATTGGATACTTTGTAGGGTTAACAGATATTATATATTAATTGTTATTCTGTGATTTGTGACTATAAGTGTTAATGAAAAATTATGTTTTATCTGTGTACTGGTACTGTGGAATATGCAGGTAGTGTATAAAGGTAATTAAAATCAATAGAAATTTATAAAGGCTATTGATGTCAAATATTGTATACAGATGTTGGGGTAGTTTAATGTATTCTCCCAGAGACATCACATCTTTCTCTCTTATATAATACAACTTTGTACTAGGAATGATCTGCACAAACTGCATATATGTCAACTTTCATGCAATAAGATATGAATTTGCTAGGAATATAGTTTATGACTTTACAAGCCTGCTTATTTGATTGAACATAAATATATTATTTAATTCTCTTTTTCTCTTTAATGTATTTTCCTTTTTTTTTTTTTTTTAATGTTAGCTACTGTGGTCTTAAGTGTGGATTTATATAACTACAGTCCATAAACAAGAAGCAGAGAATTGTACAGTACAGTACTGGTAAATGCTGTCTCAGGCCTTAGCAGGGCCACAGGAGGTGGCAGAGAGTAATGCAGGATCAGAACAGGTTCTACAACAGGTAGGGACTCTGAAGAAGTGTGTCGAATTAATGGCAATTAGCTGACCTACTGTTAGGGGAGAGGAGGATCAACAGGAATGTTTCCAGCGCAGGAACAATGTAATAGTTTTTGGAGTCCCCTGAGAGGTAGGCGGAGGGGAACAGTAGGATAACACACGATAAGATGCAATTTAAGAATATTTGTACAGAGGTTCTGCATATGCCATCAACCCCTCAGGATGAGAGGAGGCTGGGACTAATGCAGGGGGACAAGCCTCGCTCCCTCAGGATCACACTAGTGGGTGAGCAGAAATGAGAGATTATTCAGCAGGCAAAAACACTTGGCAAGGAGCATGGCATTTCAAAGTGTATTCATTCACCCAGATTGCACGGTAATGCAGAGGGAACACCACAAGAAGCTCCTGGAGGACTTGAAGCAGAGGAGTCCAGGTAGATTATCATAGAAAATGGGAAATTTGTATCAGAAAATGGGAAATATCTATTTTCTGGGAGTTGGTTACCTACTTATCATAGAAAACGGGAAATTTGTATAATAGATAATGGGAAATATCTACTTTCCGGGAAAGTTGGTTATCTACTTTCCCAAAAAGTAGATTATCTACTTTTTGGGAAAGTAGATTAATGACTTTATGGGAAATATTCCCTAATTTTCCAAAGTAGATTATCATAGAAAACGGGAAATTTGTATGACAGAAAATGGGAAATATCTACTTTCTGGGAAAGTTGGTCATCTACATATCATGGAAAACGGGAAATTTCTATAGTAGAAAATGGGAAATATCTACTTTCCGGGAAAGTTGGTTATCTACTTTCCCGAAAAGTAGATTATCTACTTTTTGGGAAAGTAGATAATCGACTTTTTGGGAAACAGGATTATCGACTTAATGGGAAATATTACCTAATTTTCCGAAGTAGATTATCATAGAAAACGGGAAATTTGTATCACAGAAAATGGGATATATCTACTTTCTGGGAAAGTTGGTTATCTACTTATCATAGAAAACGGGAAATTTCTATAGTAGAAAATGGAAAATATCTACTTTCCGGGAAAGTTGGTTATCTACTTTCCCGAAAAGTAGATTATCTACTTTCCCGAAAAGTAGATTATCTACTTTTTGGGAAAGTAGATAATCGACTTTTTGGGAATAAGGATTATCGACTTAATGGGAAATATTACCTAATTTTCCGAAGTAGATTATCATAGAAAACGGGAAATTTGTATCACAGAAAATGGGATATATCTACTTTCTGGGAAAGTTGGTTATCTACTTATCATAGAAAACGGGAAATTTCTATAGTAGAAAATGGGAAATATCTACTTTCCGGGAAAGTTGGTTATCTACTTTCCCGAAAAGTAGATTATCTACTTTTCGGGAAAGTAGATTATCGAATTTTCGGGGAAGTAGATTAACGACTTTTTGGGAAATATTACCCAATTTTCCAAAGTAGATTATCATAGAAAACGGGAAATTTGTATGAGAGAAAAAGGGAAATATCTACTTTCTGGGAAAGTTGGTTATCTACTTATCATAGAAAACGGGAAATTTGTATAATAGAGAATGGGAAATATCTACTTTCCGGGAAAGTTGGTTATCTACTTTCCCGAAAAGTAGATTATCTACTTTTTGGGAAAGTAGATAATCGACTTTTTGGGAAAGAGGATTATCGACTTAATGGGAAATATTACCTAATTTTCCGAAGTAGATTATCATAGAAAACGGGAAATTTGTATCACAGAAAATGGGATATATCTACTTTCTGGGAAAGTTGGTTATCTACTTCTCATAGAAAACGGGAAATTTCTATAGTAGAAAATGGGAAATATCTACTTTCCGGGAAAGTCGGTTATCTACTTTCCCGAAAAGTAGATTATCTACTTTTTGGGAAAGTAGATAATCGACTTTTTGGGAATAAGGATTATCGACTTAATGGGAAATATTACCTAATTTTCCGAAGTAGATTATCATAGAAAACGGGAAATTTGTATCACAGAAAATGGGATATATCTACTTTCTGGGAAAGTCGGTTATCTACTTTCCCGAAAAGTAGATTATCTACTTTTTGGGAAAGTAGATAATCGACTTTTTGGGAAAGAGGATCATCGACTTAATGGGAAATATTACCTAATTTTCCGAAGTTGATTATCATAGAAAACGGGAAATTTGTATCACAGAAAATGGGATATATCTACTTTCTGGGAAAGTTGGTTATCTACTTATCATAGAAAACGGGAAATTTCTATAGTAGAAAATGGGAAATGTCTACTTTCCGGGAAAGTTGGTTATCTACTTTCCCGAAAAGTAGATTATCTACTTTTTGGGAAATTAGATAATCGACTTTTTGGGAATAAGGATTATCGACTTAATGGGAAATATTACCTAATTTTCCGAAGTAGATTATCATAGAAAACGGGAAATTTGTATCACAGAAAATGGGATATATCTACTTTCTGGGAAAGTTGGTTATCTACTTATCATAGAAAACGGGAAATTTCTGTAGTAGAAAATGGGAAATATCTACTTTCCAGGAAAGTTGATTATCTACTTTCCCGAAAAGTAGATTATCTACTTTTCGGGAAAGTAGATTATCGAATTTTCGGGGAAGTAGATTAACGACTTTTTGGGAAATATTACCAAATTTTCCAAAGTAGATTATCATAGAAAACGGGAAATTTGTATGAGAGAAAAAGGGAAATATCTACTTTCTGGGAAAGTTGGTTATCTACTTATCATAGAAAACGGGAAATTTGTATAATAGAGAACGGGAAATATCTACTTTCCGGGAAAGTTGGTTATCTACTTTCCCGAAAAGTAGATTATCTACTTTTTGGGAAAGTAGATAATCGACTTTTTGGGAAAGAGGATTATCTACTTAATGGGAAATATTACCTAATTTTCCGAAGTAGATTATCATAGAAAACCGGAAATTTGTATCACAGAAAATGGGATATATCTACTTTCTGGGAAAGTTGGTTATCTACTTATCATGGAAAACGGGAAATTTGTATAGTAGAAAATGGGAAATGTCTACTTTCCGGGAAAGTTGGTTATCTACTTTCCCGAAAAGTAGATTATCTACTTTTTGGGAAAGTAGATAATCGACTTTTTGGGAATAAGGATTATCGACTTAATGGGAAATATTACCTAATTTTCCGAAGTAGATTATCATAGAAAACGGGAAATTTGTATCACAGAAAATGGGATATATCTACTTTCTGGGAAAGTTGGTTATCTACTTATCATAGAAAACGGGAAATTTCTATAGTAGAAAATGGGAAATATCTACTTTCCAGGAAAGTTGATTATCTACTTTCCCGAAAAGTAGATTATCTACTTTTCGGGAAAGTAGATTATCGAATTTTCGGGGAAGTAGATTAACGACTTTTTGGGAAATATTACCAAATTTTCCAAAGTAGATTATCATAGAAAACGGGAAATTTGTATGAGAGAAAAAGGAAATATCTACTTTCTGGGAAAGTTGGTTATCTACTTATCATAGAAAACGGGAAATTTGTATAATAGAGAACGGGAAATATCTACTTTCCGGGAAAGTTGGTTATCTACTTTCCCGAAAAGTAGATTATCTACTTTTTGGGAAAGTAGATAATCGACTTTTTGGGAAAGAGGATTATCTACTTAATGGGAAATATTACCTAATTTTCCGAAGTAGATTATCATAGAAAACCGGAAATTTGTATCACAGAAAATGGGATATATCTACTTTCTGGGAAAGTTGGTTATCTACTTATCATGGAAAACGGGAAATTTGTATAGTAGAAAATGGGAAATGTCTACTTTCCGGGAAAGTTGGTTATCTACTTTCCCGAAAAGTAGATTATCTACTTTTTGGGAAAGTAGATAATCGACTTTTTGGGAATAAGGATTATCGACTTAATGGGAAATATTACCTAATTTTCCGAAGTAGATTATCATAGAAAACGGGAAATTTGTATAGTAGAAAATGGGAAATATCTACTTTCCGGGAAAGTTGGTTATCTACTTATCATAGAAAACGGGAAATTTCTATAGTAGAAAATGGGCAATATCTACTTTCCAGGAAAGTTCATTATCTAATTTCCCGAAAAGTAGATTATCCACTTTTCGGGAAAGTAGATTATCGAATTTTCGGGGAAGTAGATTAACGACTTTTGGGAAATATTACCAAATTTTCCAAAGTAGATTATCATAGAAAACGGGAAATTTGTATCACAGAAAATGAGAAATATCTACTTTCTGGGAAAGTTGGTTATCTACTTTCCGGAAAAGTAGATTATCTACTTTTCGGGAAATTAGATAATCAACTTCCCCGAAAATTCGATAATACACTGTCCTAAAAAGTAGATAATCTACTTTTAGGGAAAGTAGATAACCAACTTTCCCGGAAAGTAGATATTTCCCATTTTCTACTATAGAAATTTCCCGTTTTCTATGATAAATAGATAACCAACTTTCCCGGAAAGTAGATATTTCCCATTTTCTATGGTACATATTTCCCGTTTTCTATGATAAGTAGATAACCAACTTTCCCATGTAGTATATATTTCCCATTTTCTGTTATACAAATTTCCCGTTTTCTATGATAATCTACTTCGGAAAATTTGGAAATATTTCCCAAGAAGTCGATAATCTACTTCCCCGAAAATTCGATAATACACTGTCCTAAAAAGTAGATAATCTACTTTTAGGGAAAGTAGATAACCAACTTTCTCGGAAAGTAGATATTTCCCATATTCTATTATACAAATTTCCCGTTTTCTATAAGTAGATAACGAACTTCCCGGAAAGTAGATATTTCCCA